CAGCAGCATCTGCCTGGCTTATTCCTCCTCTCACCACTCCTTGCTAAGCAGGGATCCCCTGTCCCCTCTGCCTTACACAGACACCTCAGCATTTGCTAACAGACCACATGCTGGCTACGGTCCATGCTGTGACAGACAGGAGTGTTGGCTTAGGGCTTTTTGGAGCTAATCAGTAGTTCATTTGGTAATGTCCCTCTGTTCCTTCATTGTTTAAGAAGAGCGTGAACTAATGAGAGAGGTTGTTTGTTTTCTGATGGGGTATGTCACGGGTGGGGTCCTCCAGGAGGGCCGTGATCTCCTTTAAGGCCCTTTCCTCCGTGCCAAGTCGGCTCAAGGGCACCCTCTGATTCTCGCCCGCCACGTCTTTGATGTTCTAATATATATTAGGGAGGCTGCCTCACGTCTTCTTGGACATGGTCCACTGTAACCTCTGGTCCTGTAGACTCCCGGACCCCTCATGGGTCTTGTCCTGCAAACGGGTGCTTCAGGGCACCCTAGCCTTATGGGCTACGCGTGGCTCCAACCATCCCTTATACCATGCCCCAAGCCTCGCAGCTGGAATAGACGTTGGTCTGTCAAATACACTCGCCATCTCTAGGGGCCCTCTCTATAGCGCTGCCCTCTCTCCGGGATCCTCTGCAGCGCCACCCTCTCTCAGGAGCCTTCACAATACCGCCGCCCTTCTCTCCAGGGCCTTCTCCACAATGCTGCCCCTTTTGATAGTACTGCCCCCTCCTCTGGGGCCTTCTCTGTACCGCTGCCCTCTCAGGTGCTGCCCCCTCCTCTGGGGCTTTCTCTGTACCGCTGCCCTCTCCTAGGGCCTTCTTAAGTGCTGTCCCCTGCTCTGGGGCCTTCTCAGGAATGCTGCCCCTCTCCTGGGGCTCTCCGTGCCTACACTGGGCCTTTTCGGTAAAGCCGCCCCCTCTCGGGGGCTCTCCTATAATGCCGCCCCCGCTCGGGGGCTTGCCACCCCCGCTCTGGGGGTTTTCCACAACACCCCCTTCTCTGGGGCTTCTCAACTGCCCCTCTCCGGGGCTGGGGTCTATGCACCCCATACGCAGCGCCCTTACTGGAGCTGGGGTCCCCACACTGCTGTGGGTCCCCTATGAGGCCTCCTCCAACCCCTAATAGCCTCACCCAAACCACCGGTGTAATAAATAACAACAAAGCAAAACACAAGCCTCTTGGCTTATGGTTAAATTGTAGCCACCTGGCTATAACAACATTGCTCCAACATCCCAGAGCTGCCATCCTTTACTTGGCTTGAGTAGTACCTGCGGTTCTCGCATCTTAGTTCCAGGAGTTCCTCTCTGTCTGGCTGCTGGCAGGTAACTGCTAGCCTGGCCTCAGCCCCTGGGCTTTATAAGGGCCATGCCCTGCCCCTTCCAGTCATCTGATCTCCTGGTTGCCCTGGCAACCCACAGCTGGGCTCCTTATTCCCTGCTAGGGCTCTTTCCCCGGCAGTTTCACCTCTCTAGGAGTAGGGCATCTCAGTGCTCTGTGACAGGGTGATAAATGCTGATAACAGAGCTGATAAATGCTCTGTTATCAAGGAGGGGGAGAACCCCTCCCTAATCCTGCTGGGGCCTGGCCACACCCTGCTTAGCTCAGCTCTGTGGAATGGAAAGGAGGGCTGCTCTAGTGGCCCTTGGCTTTTAACCTGAGTCACTGCAGGCATGTGCCTACGTGTTTGGGATGTCTGTACAGCTACAAAGTGATTTAGCCTAGTCAAATTAGACTAACCTGCAAAGATTGAATCAATTCAGGCTCAGGCTTTTTGAATGTCTATTCCTAGCCCAGAGATCTGGGTTCTATTTCTGTTTCTGTCACTGACTTTTTGTGTGACTCAAGGCAAATCATTTTACCTATGTCTTTTCTGTGTATCATTGATGGCAGACTCCTTGGGAGCTGCTCCTTGGTACTTAGCAGATGGGAACTTGCTCTCCAGCAGCTATAGTAACAGCAACAACAACAGAAAAGCTTCTCCTTATCCTGCAGTAGCAAGACACTGGGAAGCTGTCAAGGAAAATCAGGACTGCTACTGACCACAGGGGTCAGTTTCCTCAAGCTGGGTAACATCATCAGGCACACTGCGGGAAAAAAAAATATGATTCGTCTAGGGGAGTTGCACATGTTGAGCACTAAGCTGCTTGTAGGTACTAATGTGTTTCTGGCTGTGGTGGGGAGGACACATTTGCAAGTGAAATTTGGTGTCATCTTTCAGCAAACTTGGCCTGTTGTTTTTAATTGTGCTTCCTTGGGAGGAGAACTGAAATTCTGAAGGGAGCTGTTATTGGCAGGATGCCATTACAGAGAATTGTATCACTAGCTCTGCTCAGTGTCAGGAGGGGCTATTTGATTTGGGCACTGGGGGCATATGAATCTCAATAATGATAACAAAGCAGATAGGGATAAACTATTGTATCATGTGTGCAGTCAATGTGGGTCTAGCCTCAGATGAGAGAGACCACTTTTTGTGCAAGAATTGAATCAACATATATGATTTAGGAAGAAATATTATCATCTGTCTCCTGCAAACATTTAGGCATATATGTTACTTATGTGAGTATTGGCATCAAAGTTAAGGACATACCATAAGTTCATTGGACACCTGTATGCATAAAGGTAAGCATATTTCTTAATGTTGCAGTAGAATGTTGCAATTTTTTGCAAAAAAAATGTCATTGTTTCACAGGGAAGTGTTTTCCAACGTGCACCAAACCAGCCTTTTTATATGTTAAAACAAAACATTTTTATTTTGAGTTCTTATTTGCTAAATACAACTAGAGGGATATTTGAGGGGAAACAGTAAAAGTTGCTTTACTTGGTCAGCAGTGTGAATTTTCTCTTGACATTTCTTTTGTCAGTACTTTATCCTACCCCAACACCTTCAGAACCTTCTCTCCAATCCTAACTCATGCGAAGAAACTAGTCCAACTGAACTCTAGCTAGTCCAGCTGAACTCAGTGGGGACTTCTTGTTTGTGTGAGCGTTGCTAATTGTGGTTACAAGACTAAACAGTGAATACTAAGTGCCAATTCCTAGTGCAAGGTGATCAAGGTGGGATTTTCAGAAGCAACTGGGTCACACAAACCTTTGTGGAAATTCCATACAAAGTTTTTCACAAATGTTTTTCTTTCCTGTCTGAAGGCTGTCAGTAGTACGTGTGGCATCATTGGGGAGGATGGCTGTATGCACTTGGGCACACCTACTATTGTAAAACCTTAAACATATCCTTAACTTTATACTCTGTTATAATCCCATTTAAATTACTGCCTGAAGGTAAAGAGCATATCGAACAAATGCAATAGTGGGACTACCCTAAATGGTGCCTGATAGGAAGTGTGTGCAAAATGGGGCCCTTGATTTCAGTGCACAGTGCTACCTCATCTCATCAACTTTCTCTTGCCATTTATGTTTCTTTCCTTCTTTCTATGTACATACATTTTATTTTGATTAAAATTTAGGTAATATTGACTGTGCTCAATGAAGAGGCATGTTGTGAATAGTTAAGCTTCACAGAATATTAGGATACTATAGTGTAACTTCCAAAAAAAACCATTAAAAATTTTCCAAGTATAATTTCACAGTGGAAACTTCCCTTTCAGGATCATCATCTGCATGAACTTTACAGCCAAGTCTATCTCTGCAGCTAAAAGTAAAACAAGGGGCTCAGAATATAGTAATTTGTAATCTGGGTCACTCAGATTGAAACCCCAAAAAGTGAGGTTTCCTGATCTTTTAAATTTCTTAGCCAAATCCAGGTTAAGGACAGAACCTCCTAGTGGATGATGTGTGAAACAACAGAGGCCCAACAGAGAATCCTGTAGAAATTTGGCTGCTGTTTTAAACTGTGGTTTGGCATGAGTCCTGTGCAAAGTCTCAGCCAAACATTCAATTTTTCTTGTTTCTTTTCATGTTGGTATTTTATTTTATTGTACCACATGAGCTTCAGACTGTTGCCCTAGATGTATATTATCACTTGAATGAGGTATTATACACAGAGTTTTCTAACGGAAGGTAAAACTATAAATTAATATATTGAACAAGCTGTGCTAAGAAGAGGCTCTGGAAAGGGCTATGTGACATTCTAATGCCAAAATTGCCTTTCATCAACCTTTTTAATATATTAATTGACATCATCTCTGCACTGTCTTTAAAAATGAGAACTTGACTGGCAAATCTGGGAGAGGTGAAAAAAGTGGGCTCCAAACACTACATTCAGATCAACATATTTAAAGATATAATTCTTCAACTGAAATAGGATAAAACATGAATGTGACTCTAACATGTCCCTATGTTCTAATTTCTATATGAGTCTGGGAACCCAAGCTTGAAACTTACATGTCTTTGCTGAATTGCCACAAGATAGTTACATTAGATGGGACAGTGTTGTTCAGTATTTTTTCCAGCACTAATAAAAAAGCTTAGCTGGGGTCTAACTATATTCTATCCTTTTTTGTGTGTGAGTACTAAATAAAAAAAAATCCCAGATGTGAATCTATAAACCATCTGTTTAAAATAACAATTGAGCAGCACTATAATTATAAGTTATTTATTGTGAATCTTGGGATCCCATTAATGCATTTTGACTGACTCCCAGGTTTCCGATTTAGCAAATGGTTTATGTATTTATGAGCCATGTGTCTCTTTTGTGCTTCTTGGTGCTAGAGTGCATGTCCTTTTAACAAAAAGAAAAAAGGAAAAAAAAAATCTCCCACCTTCCTATAAGTACTGGCTTCTGAATATTGCTGTATAAGACATTCTCTCTTAAGAACAGCGATATCAAAGAATATGAAAACTTTCAGCAACTTCTGAAATATTGACAAAACAGATGGAGATTTGGTAATACAGCTCTCTTTCATGCTGCTGGTTAACAGCTCCTTAAATGTGTGGTTGGGACAAGTAATGAAATGTTATGATAACTAAGTGGGACTTTATTTGGAAGCAAAGCACGTGCTATTTATTAAAGTGTATTTGACTCAATTGCTCCTATGCAGCACTCCATCTCTGAAAATTGAGTGAAGAGGAAGAAAGGAAATTTTAAAAAAGCAGAATGGTGGTCCATGTTAAAAGCAATGGTTTGGAAGAAGATGTAAAAAACCCAACAATTGCTCCTTGTTTGGTAATGTTTTATCTTCTTACTCCTGCAAACCATAGACCTAGAATATCTGTATTGTAACACTAGACTACAACAGATTAAACAATGATTTACCAGCTTTATCTACTGCACTGTATATGAACTGCAAAATACTAACTTTTTCCACTGTATTGAGTTTTTCTGGCCCTGAAATTTCCCAAGATGTACTTTCTAGAAGGAACCAGCAGTATATTCATAGGTACTTTAAAGGAAAAATCAGTCTTCAAAGAATCAAATGCATCTCTATGAACTTGAGTGGAATTATGCCTGTTAATACAGAAAGCAAGGGTGACTTTGTTGTTAACATATTGTTTTCAGGAGATCTGCAATACATCTCCTGTCTAACCTTGAGCAAACCTCTTGCGGTTTGACTGAGAATGAGACTTAGGTGATGCAACTCTAAGCATTGCAATGCCTTCTAAGTAATCATAGAATATTTGGGTAGGAAGGAACCCAGGAAGTCATCTAATGCAACCCCTTTGTTAAGGCAGGATCATCCCTGACTAAACCATCAGTCAATTGCCTGTCTAACCTGCTCGTAAAAACTTCAGAAGATGGAGATTCCACAACCTCTTTGAGTAGCCTGTTCCAATGCTTAAACACGACCAGAATGAGAGAGGTTTATCCAACATAAATATTCCTTGCTGCAATTCAAAACTGTTGCTCCTTGTTATATATTTTGTGGCCATAGGCTAGGGACAGAAATTACACATAAACTGGTATAAGTGATAGGAAACTGGTTCAAATCTGTAACACAACAGAAGTTCAGCACACATAAGCTACTTTCAAAATGGCCAAAACCAGTTTAAGATAAACCTGGATGGATGTAGTATCAGACTGAACTGATTTAAGTTTAATTGGCTTATTGAACTTCTGTCCCAGATCTCCGCCAAATTCAAGTTAACTCAAAGTCTCCCAGTGTGCTTAGCACCTCTGTCCACAAACCCTCCTCAGAGGGTGGGCGAGCTAGCCTTGGTCCAAACTTTCTGCTCTAGCAGAGCAGGAAGACATGTTCTAGTGGTCCTCAACTTCTGGCCTGGGCCACTCTAGGCATGTGGCTGCATTTCTGGAATCAAAAGCGAATGACTGTTCATTTGCTTATCGGTTCAATTTAGGCAGCTTAGACTAACCTGTGAAGGTTGAATCTATTCAGCTTCAGGCTTTTTGACTGCCTGTACTTAGCTATAGAAAACAGTCTGTTTCCATTCTCCATATAACCAGTCTTCAGGTACTTGAAGATTGTTATCAAATTCCCCACAGTTGTCTCTTCTCCGGACTGAATAACCCTGGTCCTCTCAGCCTTTCCTCATGTTTCTCAGGCCTCTAATCCTTTTTGTCTCTCTCTGCTGGACTCTTTTTAATTTGTCCACATCTTTTGAAGTGAAGGGCCCAAAACTGGACACAGTACTACAGGAGAGGTCTTACCACTGCTAAATAGAAGGGAAGAATCACTTCTTTTGTTTTGCAAGTGACATTCCTGTTAATATAACTCAGTATGTTGTTTGTCTGTTTGGCAACAAAAGCACACTGTCGGCTCATATTCAGGTTATGGCCCACTGTAAACCCCATATCCTTTTCTGCAGTATGCCAGCCTAGCCACTTGTTCCTCAATTTATATTTGTTCATGAAATTTTCCTGTTCTAAGCACAGGACTTTGCATTTGTCCTGATTTAAATTTAATTAAATTGATTTCAGACCATTTCTCCAGTTTATCAAGGCCATTCTGAATCCTAACTCTATCCTACTTGTAGGCCTCTGGTCCTAGTAGTGAAATCTAGAACCCTAGCACCTCAGTTACCTGCACAGTGTCGTGAGAGATTAGGCACTTAGCAATAACGTTCACAACCTCCATCTCGTGGGAGCTGCTTAGAGCAATGCAGAGGAGAGGGGCAGGTCTCACACCTTGTTTTTCTTCAGAGCTCAGATGTCTTAAGACTGCAGGGAAGCACCCGTGTCTATTTGTGAATCCTTTTGGAAAGTACCTGCGGAAGCAGTTGGGAGAGCTGAATTCACTAGATAAGTGAAACAGTTACAAGTTACTGTATCAGAATGAAGAGTAATGATGCAACACTGTATTAAATAGTTTAAAAAAGAATATACAGTACTAACATGTTACAATAACTATTCTATCAAACTTAAGAATAGAGATACAGTGTTGTATTACTTTCAAAGCTTTCATAGGGATGTTTGTTATACAATACCAAGAGTTACAATTTGATTTAAAAATTTTGCCTTTTTCATAAATGAAGGTTTAGATACTTGAGAAGGTATCGCAGGGAAATGCTAAATGTTTGGATCCTGTTTCGGCTTAGTGCTCAGCTCTAAAAACCACACCACTTCTGTTCATGTCTAGAAACAAAATGTTATGCACCTGGGTAATTTTGAGATAAAAAACCAGGGCAAGTGGGGATTTTAGCTGCTTCCAGGGCTAGGTGTTGCTATATAGAAGCTTTCAGCATTTCCATGTGGACTTGGGTTCCTAAATTCTGCCTAAGTTCCCATTTTGCCACCTACTTCCTTTTTTGGCTCAGACCCTGAATCATTTTGTGTCTCTGTTTATTGGTTTGTAAGGTGGATATAATAAATGGACCATCCTTTCTCCCTCCCTTTGTTGACCTTGTCTGTTTTTAACCTGTGAGGAATAGGTTTTCATTTTGCTTCATGTGGCCAACAGTATGCAATATTATTGTCATTATTAAGAATAATAATGCCTAAGATAAATTTGACATGGGTTTGTCTCACAGTATTTTGATGTCTATATTGCTTTGCTCTTCTCTGTGAACTGAAAAATCTTGACATAAAAGCTGAAATAGCATGTGCTATGTTATTCATACTACTCCTAAAAGGAAATTTAGAAAAATGACCATGTAGAATTCTATGTTGGGGTTACCCTTTTGCCCCCCCTTGCCTAGGGACAAACATTACACATAAACCAGTTTAAGTGATCAGAAACTGGTTTAAACCTGTAACAGAACATAAGTTCAGTGCACGTAAACCAGTTTCAAAATGGCTGAAACTGGTTTAAGATAAACCCGGCTGAATGTACTGTTAGACTTAACTGATTTGTGTCAAACTGGTTTATGCAATGTCTGTCCCAGACCCTCTCCTGGTTTAAGTTAAACCAGAGTCTCCCGGAATCCCAGATGCTGGACTGGGCTAGGCTGTGCTATCTGCTCCAGAGAACAGGGCTGGCCCCACCCCTCTGCTCCCTAGCCAGAGCTCCTGCAGACTGTAGGCATAGCAGGGTCTACCTGGCTTCCCTTTTCCCCATCTGTCCCTCGCTGCTTGCTGCTCGCTGCTTAAGCAGGGTTCCCCCCCTTCCCTCCCTCCCCTCTCCCACAGCATGGACCTCAGCCCCATGGACCCTAGGCATGTGGAATGCTAGCTAACACTGAGAGGTGTCAATGTGTGTGTGTCTCCAATTCACTGGGATAGGCAGACAGGACAGTGTCTGCTTAGGGCTTTTTGGAGCTAATCAACAGGTCAGCTGGTAATGTCCCTCCGTTCCTTCCTTGGAAAAAGCTGTTTAAGAAGTGCTTGAACTAATGAGAAAGGTTTTTGTTCTGTTGATAGGCTGATAAACACAGTGTTATCAGACCCTTGCTGTCTCCCTCACCTGTGAGGTTTGAAGACAATATGAAGAAGCAGGGAGGGGGAGATTGAAAAGCTCAGTATCATCAACAGATGCAGGCACTGCACCCCACCCCACCCCCTTTGCCTCAGACTGCTAGCCAGGGGCTGCAGTCTGGCAACACTCCCTCCCCTTGAGGAGCAAGTGGGGAACAGCCTGGGACTTCAGGCAGGGTGTGGGTTTAAACCCCTCCCTAGTCAAAGGTCCTGCTGGGGTCTGGCCATGCCCCCCCTCAACTCAGAACTGTGGAAGGAAAGGGAGGGCTGCTCTAGCACCCCCCAGGTTCTAGCCTGAGCCACCACAGGCATGTGCCTGCACTTCCTCAGTCCACAGGAAATGTCTATGCAGTTGCAAACTGATTCAATCTAGGCAGGTTAGACTAACATATCTGAGAACAAATCCTCTCCCCCTCACTTCCACTAATGGAGCAATTAAAAACGAAATTCTCCAGGGATACATTGCAGCATTGCAGAGATTTTCTTCACTTCAAACTCTGGCATTACATTTTCATATGGGAATGAGAATGATGAGGGTTGTTTTTTTTTTGGCAAATTCCCATTAAGAAAAACAAAATGTTGCCTAAATCATTTAAAATAGGGACCCCAGATTTGTCTCATGGTTCCCAGGCAGCAGACACTGTTGCCAAGGGTTTCTGGGTCAGTGGTGTTACATCTGTTATCCTATATACTGATCAAGAACCAGTTTCACTAATGCATTCTGGCTACTTTGCACTAATTTGGCCAAAATAACATACGCTCATTTAACTGGGAAGTAAAACCAGATTTATAGCAGCTTTGCCACACTTGCATGGCTGCAAAACAGTGAGAGACTTGCAGTGAATCTGGCCTGTCAGTTTTATATTGTTATTTTCTGACTAAAACCGCATGTCTGCTGACAACTTTAGGGCCTGATTGCTGTTGACTGGTTTCACATTGACTTCAGAAAGGTTGTTTCTAATTTAGACTGGTAAGAGTCAAAATCTTTATATTCTCCATCATACCGGGTGGAACTGTGAGAAGAATAAAGGTGTGTGATTTTTAAAATTTAAAAGGCTTTAGTCTAAGAGTCATAAAGATAGATTAGTTTTTCACAAGCAGTTTGAGTATGGCCACAGGAAGCACATGTAAAGGGATGAAGTGCAGAGCCTCTTAGTTTTATGATTTACATTTTTTCTACCCCTTTAATTTTTTGGTCTCTAATTAAGTCACAAGATCTACCGAGGTGGATGCTAACATCTGGTAAATGGCTATCTGTGTCACTTAATGAACTGCACTTGTAATTATAGGTGGAGCTCACTTCTGAGGAATTTTAAGACAGGAATTTCCAGTAGCAAAAGTTTACTTTGAAAAGAAGT